CAGGCGCTACTCGCCAAAATAGGATGTGTGGAACAATGTTTTTGTGTGGTTTGTTATGACAGTTGACCTTGATGTCCTCTGTGACCATGGTCCCAAGCCCACAGGTCCAACTACTCACTCCTTCTGGGTAGCTGGCTGTGGCCAAGAAGTGAATACAATCTTGTCCCTTGTCAGCTCTTCTATATACCTGGGAATTCTTATACAACATACAAATATACCTGTAGAAACATTGTCTGCCAACTCTACACGTGGTCATAGGCACACTCTCCCCTGCATAGACATACTAATAGTTTGGCCTGTCTACCCCATCTATCCATTCGTATAGCCATGTTTGCCTTCAATGACAATAAAGTACTGTATGTGCAAACGGTTCATCTTTGTTGTCTATACCTCCCATGCACCTCTCTCTGTCTTCCTCTTCCTCAGTGTTGATGGCAATGGTTTTGGTTTTGGGTTTTTGATTTTCATTCTAAAATAGTCAGGCAAGTAGCCCCACACACCTGGTTAAGCTAAACTAACTTCAGGAAGGAAGGGGGCCATGATGCAGTTAAACATATTCATTGCAGTATCAATGACCAAGGGCTGCTGAACCTTGAAGCTTTCTCTCTGGCCCCTTCGGGATCAGTGGAAACATCTATGAACAGGAGAGGGTGGCACATTCCTGGGGACAATGGAGGACCCATGCCAGGAACTTTCCCAGACCATCCCTGATGGGTCTCTTTGCTTGTATATTTTCTGGTTATAATAAATAGTAACTGTAAGTATAGGTAGTAGTCTCTCTGAATTTTGTGAGCTGTTATAGAAAATGAACAAACCCTCAAGGGGCAAAGAGAGGCCAATTCAGAGGAGGGTTTGCATAATCATAAGGACAAGTCCTGACTCATGAGACACAAGCTCTGAGTGGCTGGGTGACAGAAAAGGCTGCACAGTCAGTGAAGAAGGACAGAGTCCTTCCAGCTTGTGATCTAGTCCCAGGGGGCTTTGAGGAAGAGAGAGAGGGGCTGGCTGGTTTAAAGTGCAGGGAATTGTGCAGATTCCTGAGCCTACATCTTGTCCCGATGACTGGCTCTGGGTGGCCAGAGATGTCTTGACCTTACTGTGGGTGGTTAGGGTGAGAGAGGAAGTGCCACAGAAGTGGTTTGTGTTGAGGATCTTGGGGCATGGGGAAGGTAAAGCCTGACTCCATATCCATGAGGGAACTGGATTTATGCTGGTCTTTGTCACACAGTGAGAAAGGTAGGATTTGTCCACCTTGCCCCCTTGGTAGTGCAGTTAGTGACAATGGCTTTGCACTGCCAGAACTAGTCACATGGCCCCATCTAACCAGAGATCCCAGAATGCAATCCCAACCATGTGCCAGAGGGCAGAGAGCCCCAGTAATGACTATCACAGACAGTAGCCTCCTTTTCAAAATTCAGAGGAGTCCCCATGAGCTAAAGAAAATAATTCTTTCTTGAAAAGTGAAGAATTGAGTTTCTTTAGAATTCAATTATCTATTACGACCTCGATACTCACTAGCATAGCTTTATTAAAAGCAGGTGAGATGTGAAGCAAAGCATAAAACGCAAACATTTTGTTAAAAAATAAAAAGATAGTCTTTCTATAAATAAAGTTAGAGCTGACAATCAGCATGTCTTTTTAGTTACACATAGAAATATCTTTTAATATGAATATCTACAATGTCAGGAACAATAAATGGATTGTTTCTTATACGTTTGGGATGCAAAGGGAAAAGAAGAAAATGTTCTTATTTTCCTGTTTCACAGTATTATATGGTACATTTTTCACTAGCAAGGAATAAAAATAGTTCTTTTCTTTAAAAATAATCAATTCCCCAATTGGAACATTTGTGGGTTGTGGTTGCTTTTAAAAACTGAAAAAGTTTAAATATTTATTAGGTGGACAATGGCTTGTTTCTTTTCGGACTATACCTTGTATGGTAGTTAAGGCTGTTTGTCAACTTGGCTGGGCCTAGTTTGGAGTGGCTGGACAGCTGGATGTAAATTTTTATTCCCCATGATGAGACCAGTAATCAATTCCATGTTGGAATCCACTGTGAGTAGCTAAGTAGCTGCCTTAGGGATGTGGTCTGCTTCCTGTATATAAGCAGCAGCTTTGAGGAAGGTCTTAAGCTTTTTGCATGCTTGGCCCCTGCGTGTAGCTCAGTCTTCATCTCAGTGGCCTGCCATGTTGTCTGCCAATCTTGGGACTGTTCCTGGGCTTGAACTAGTGGCCTACCAAGTTGTTTAATAATCTTGGGACTGTGCCATTTTACTTGTCTACCTTGAGGTTGTCAGCCTCAGCAGCCAGGAGCTGCCTAAGTTAAGAGAAGCCTCCAGCTCCAGCAGCCCAGGAGTAAGAAGCACAGCTGAAGCCCAAAGTCTAGGGGCCTTCACCCAGCCCCTAGAGCTGGTACTTTGAACTGAGACTTCTAGCCTCCTAAACTGTAAGAGAATAAATCCCTGTTTGTTAAAGCCACCCATTTGTCTTATTTTCTGTTCGAGGGGCACAAGAGAGCCAATACATTTTGGAATCATGGAATCATAGGATCATCTAGTCCCACATTCAACATCTTGTCTTGAATTCTTTCTAATATCTACAATATTGTTGGACCATCTCAAGATATGGGGGACTCACTGTCTGACATCTTTTAACAGATTTCCTGTAAAGCAGGAGTGACAGTTTCTTGGCAACCAATGCTTCAACATCAAGACATGGAAACACACCAAGGGCTGTCAATAGCTAATGGCACCAAATTCATAGTTGAAACCAAGCTCTGGTAAATAATGTTGATGATGATAATTTCTCACATGCTTAAAAATGTGTCACATAGATTTCAACATCAGGAGGACCTGACACTGTAGATCCCTTTCCAGAGTGTAGTTGTACCAAACTGAAGCTTGAAAGATATTTTGAACCAAATGTATAAATTAGGCTACCAAGTATACACAGAATGACACAAGTTATTCTGTCGCTTAGTAAGCCACAAACACATAAGCCTATTCTTCTTTATGCAGTACAGTGTTTGCTTTTAGCTTTCAAGATCTATCTGGGAACTGGTGGCATGGAAAGAAAGAGAAGAAGCCTGCAAAGATTGAACAAACAGCATGCACTGTGGTATCCTTTATTTAAAAACTGTGAGTTAACTACAGTTGTAGTGTTCTCATTTACCATTCTGATGGCATAATACACTTGGAGAATGTTAACACAATTTCAAGAAGGTACTAAAAACCTGTAAACACACATACACACCACACATGCACACATACAACACATACACACACACACACACAAAGATTATAGCCTAAACACAATTAAAAGTGAGGGAAAAAAAGCTTTGAATGCTCTAAATGAAGTTAAAAACCCTTTTCTATAGTAAACTGTGGCAATACTGTGGCTATCATGAAAAATATTGAAACTTTAAAAGTGGGGGGGGGGTAGAAAAAAGGAAAAATACTGGCAATTTGAAACTAGCAGCAAAAAGCAGATAAAAATAGAAGATAACATAAGGGTAGGTAATATCAAAATTCTAAGGTTGATACTGTGTAGGACTGCACTGAAGTCAGTTAAAATTGGTTCTTATGGAACTAGTAAAAAGTCCTTTGAAACATTAAGTTGCTGCACTTTGCAAACAGTGGAAGAGAAAGAAAAATATTTGGAATGTTACACACACACAGAGGAAATGCATTAAGTATATCAGTTTATGGCCTTTGTTTATGACCTTCAGAAAGTTTTATAAAGGAAAATTTAAGTGCCAATGTCGTGAAAGAAAGTTAACAATTCCTAAAGATGCAAGACTGAGTGCATTTATTAGGTCTAAGGATATAGTTCAAAGTTGAGGGCACGGCATGTTTGATGCACACTGAAGAAGAAGGATATTGTGGAATCTACTTTCGTAGAGATAATGCCTCGGAAACCCAGGGAGGGTTCGCTATGAGTTGAATCGACTAGACGCCAGTAAGTTTGGTTTGGTTTTTGGTATACAGAAGGGAGAGTTCTTTGGGAAGTGTTTCCAATGAAGATGTATTAAACTCAGATAATGTTGAAGGAGGTTCCTAAGTACATGGAGATCTACAGCTCTTCATCAGTTGAAATCTGTTTCATCCAGGCCAATAAATAATTAAGACTAACTTTTCAGCAAACTGGTTTTTCATACATTCAAGCACAGAAATCTTTATCACACATGCAGAGCTGATATTCTAACAGCACACATAGGAATCCTGGTTGAAGAAGAAAAGCACATTAGCAAAGATTTTTTTTTTTTCATGAGTTCTTATACAAGTATCTGAAGCTGCTAAACACTTTCAAAGAGGGGCTATGTTTAGATTTCCTACTGATTTTGTAAGGAAGGAGATTCTGTTTTTCTAAAGAAGCCAGAGGCAGCCATAAGCAGGGGACTTGTCTTCAGAGTCTAAGAAGCAGAATGTCCTTAGTGCTTAATTTTAAGCTTAAACTCATGGCAAGTTCAGATCCAGGAAAACTGGCAGGGGTGATGGGGAGAGACAATGAAAGGTTCAAACTTCTGCAGTACGCTTTGGAATAAAATGTGCCTCATAAGGTAAAATGGCTCAACTGCTTTCCGAGGGAAGGGCTGTAGTACTGAAGAATAGCCAGTTGTTTGGAGTTGGGGCTGGGAGAGAGAGACTTTCCATTTCCAGGGGTCCTCTGGGCTGGGCTGTGGTTGCAGGGCCCAGGGCCCCTCCTCATTTTGGCCTTATTTCTCATGAGTGCTTTCAGTTGGAGAATTTATGATTTTGCCCAAATAAATAAATATATACATTTGGTTACTTTTGTTCTAAAATCAATTGGTCAGGCAAGTAACTGGATGACTTCCCTACATGACATCTAACTGCACTTGCGTCTTAAGGTGCTGGCTAGTTCAGATTAATGCCCATCGATCATGCTGCTAGGGATCAACTGCTCTCACTGAAGAATCAACCTCCAAATGACCTAACTAGATACTCTACCACACTAGGTGCTTTTAATATCTTGGGTTTTTTGAGCTTTAGAGAAAAAGTCTTTTTAATACGACTTAGAAACAGCTTCCTTCTGCCTTCGTCTCACTCTTCCTCTTCCCCTTCCCCTTCTCCTTCCTCCATGGTTTCCACAATGAGCTCCGCTGTGCAGGTGGCTTCTCCAAGACTGTTGACAGCCTTGCAGGTGTACTTGGCATCGTCATCCCCACAAACATCGCTAATAATTAAAGAGCAGTTCCCATCCTCATCGTAGTCTATCTGGAAGTGGCGGGACTCCCTGATGGACTGGTCATCTTTGAACCAGACGACCTCAGGGTCTGGGTATCCTGCATCACAGGGAGAAAGCACAAATTGCAGAGAGTGTTGTTCAAACTTTCTTATCAGTTCACACAAGCAACTCCTAAGCTACCTCTATTGAGTAAGGGAACAAAGGGAAAAAATGTACAGTGCTTACTTTTAGTATCCGTTTTGAGATTTACATGTGAACATGGGCATGTACTGTAAATACTAATAATCCAAAGCCACAAAAAGAATATTTAAAGTTGGTGAGACTTGCCCCTTCCTTTGGACAGATACAGAGGACTACCAGGAATGTTGCCCCAACTCCAACGAAACACCCAGAGCTAAATGTCTTCTTGGATGGAAACACATTTTTAAAAATCTTGTATAAAAGTTTAACCTAAACAAATAAATTCAAATTAAAAAAAAATAACAGAGCAAATGGGCATGAGCCATCTTTTTAAGGTGATGGAAATTTAAAAAAATGGGATTATGGAGATGGCTGCACAACTCTGTAATTTACTAAAAATAAATTAATTGTATACTTCAATTTTATGGTATATAAATTATATCTGAGGCTGTTTACAGATCTATAAAACATAAGTTCGAGGAGCTGACAATATTGGTAAGAAAAATAAACCAGCTTTGTCTTGGTTCATTTCAAAGCAGACAATCTGCCTGCAGATAACTGAAAATTGACCACGTTGATTAGCCTCACTTTATGTATTAGTCACATTTCTACAAAGTTCAGCATGAAAAATATATACATATATATTAAAAAAGAGATGTAATACATTCCAACTGATATGCTCTTAAATACCAGAAAAATATTTTTACAGAAAAAAACTGTACCCCAAGCAGAATAAAAATTACATATGAGAATTTAAGAATTCTATCACGTTTTACAAGTAGAATTTTATTTTATTTTTCAAAACAACATCCATGTGAAAAAACTAACAAAACCAAAAACCCAGCATCCAAATGCTTTAACTTTTCATCAGAGCTTCAGGCAGAAGTCAAACAAACACCACAGGAATAATCCAAAGAGAAAAGTAAGTATAAAGATGATAATCATTATATTATAATAATTTATAAAAGGAAAAAGGGAACAACTTCAGAAGACCCAAAGAAAATGGTGATGGTGAGAGTTACAAGCATGGTTCCAAAGCTTTCAGCAGAACCTCAAATCTGAGCACTTCCACATTATCAAAGGCAGTTGTTGTGTTGTTGTTATGTGCCGTGGAGTCGGACCCGACTCATAGCGACCCCTCCCTGGGTTTCAGAGGCAGTATCACTACGGAAGTAGATTGCCCAACCTTCCTTCCGAATCAAAGGCAGTACATGCACTTCTTTTTTTCTTTTTTCTGATTTGATCTGAGATTGTTGTTGTTTGCCTTTCAGTCAATTCCTTCTCATGGCGACCCCGTGTGTGCAGAGCAGAACTGCTCCACAGGGTTTTCAAGGCTGTGACCCTTCAGAAGCAGATCACCAGGCCTGTCTTCCAAAGGGCTTCTGGCTGGGTTTGAACCACCAACCTTTCATCTAGTAGTCGAGAGTTTAACCATCTGCACCACCCAGGGATTCCTTCCACTTACTTTTTCAGTTGAATGCAAAAAGAGAAAGATTATAGTAGGCAAAGGATTTGCAAGGCATTTTGATAGTATAAAGGAGCTCTCTCATGGCGCATTTTACTGCTAACCAAAAGGTTGGAGGTGCAAGCTCACCAGCCACTCCATGGAAGGAAGACTGGGCAATCTACTTCTGTAAAGGTTTACTGTCTTGGAAACCCAATGGGGGTCACCATGAGTCAGAATCAACTTGATGGGAGTGGGTTTTTTTTTGATAATATAAAGATACCGGAGAAAACTTTTTTTTTTTCCCCATTCCTAACTTTGGTTTACCCAAAAGGCAGGATACAGTCATACTGCTGGAGAATTTTGAGAAGTGGGAGCCATAATTTATTTTGACTCAGCTGTATGGTGCAATGTGCCCTTGGGAAAGTTGCTTAATAAACTTTTGTGCTTTATTTGGTCAGACCGAAATGGGAGATAATCCTCCACTCTGGTTGGCAAATGACAGTCATAGCCTTGAAGCAAAGATGCCTGTCTGCATTTGCCCCTTATTTTTCTAGAATGTTGTAATCTGGGGAAACAGAAACACTTTGCATCACCACTATTGCTGATTTTTCAGGTGCTAAGCTAAGAGCTAAAATCCGTACAGGTTCCTTAATCCCCAACAACTCATGACTCTGTACCACATTCTTCCCTCAGAGACGTGTGGGGAGGTGGCAGACGGAAAGGTCTGTCCCAGGCACCTGGCTTCTAAGCTACTCTCAGTTTGAAGTCACACATATCAATCCCACAACTTGTTCCTTTATGCCATGACATCTTTTAAACATTTAAGGTTTCCCTGTTTTAGGTAGGTCATTTCAGAATCACCCAGAAACTCAGTGCATTTGTTATTGTTGTTATATGCTGTCGAGTCGGCCCCGACTCATAGCGACCCCTCCTTGGGTTTCCGAGGCAGTATCACTATGGAAGTAGGATTGCCCAACCTTCCTTCCGAGGAGTGGCTGGTGGGTTTGAACCGCCAGCCTTCTGGTTAGCAGTCAAGTGCCTTAGGCACTATGCTATCAGCACTCCTACTCAGTGCATTAGACATCACTTTATAGATGAGGGGCCTGAAACTCAGAAGACCTAGGTCATGTCCAAGGTCAGACAACTCAATGGATGAGTGGCAATGCTGGTCACCTCCTCGTCCTATGCCTTTTGTGCCAACCTTCCTTTGAGAGCCTCCTGTGGGCATTTCTTATGGTTCCCAGAAGCTTTCAAAGCACATTTCAGTAGGCATATTCCATAGCCAGTTAGACCCACAGCAAATCCTACTTAACTTAGGCCCAGTGGCTATTGTAAGCAGGTGAAATATCAAATGTGCCCCTACATAAGTCACTGAAGAGCATTAACTCTTCAGGAATGGGGGCAGAGGAGTGGGTGTGAGGAGCTCTCACAGCCTGGCTGTTCCTAATTGCTTCTAGGCTGCTTAGAAAGGATATCTTGCTTGGGGCACATGGTGAGTGACCTACCCGTGTGTGGTAAAAGGAAGAAGAGCTACAACTTACCTTCAATCTTGCAGTCAAATCTAGCAGCACTTCCCTCCACAACTTCTAAATCACGGATGGTCTTAGAGAAATAGGGTTTTACGTGGGGCTTTTCCTCAGCAACAGCCTCAAGGAAAGCTTGGGATACATCTTCTAGAAGAAGGGCAAGAGACATGCGTCATTTCTTCATTCCTTGTTCCCTCCTCTCCCCTAATTTGAAAGCCGACCTTTTTTTTTTTTTAAATTTTAAAGTTGGTATAATTTAGCAAATAACACAGCTTAGAGAACTGAATCATAAGTGTGCCTGTCTCCTGGGGACGCTTGGCCTGCTGCCAAATGGTTTCTGGCAGAAGAGAGAACAGTGTCCAAACTGGGCAAGCGTTCAGGCTCCCTGCTTCCCTTTCGCTGACACATTGAAAAAGGAAATAATCTTTAAAAAGGATTTTTGGCCACATTTCATGTGGCTTTAGGATTCAGTTGAGCACATCTGGTAAGGACAGAACCTGCTTTCCTAGTCTCTGTACCCTTTTGCCTGCCTCCTGCCACAGGCACTTCTCCTGCTCCTTAGAAGGGAGGAGCCAGGCCCTAGAGGCATCTTCAACTTGCCAGTAATTTTATTGTCCACCACTTACTACCCTCACTTTGTATTACTGCAGACCAGGGTTTGAGATTAGTCCAGGGCAAAACTGTAACTCTGAGGGGTTCCTGTGTCTTCTCACACTTCCTTCTCCTGCCACTGATAGATTTTCTGGGAAGCGGCAGGACTGGGCAGGCGGGACCAGGCCCATGTGCTGTATCTGTCCCCAGACGTAAGGAAGTTCCCCAGCAGCCCAGGAACCTCTTCTGCACCTTTGAACAAAAAAGGGCCCTAGACTCAGACTTCCCATCTGTGCACAAGCAAGAGAGCCCGGGAGCAAGAGGGATGTCTGTCCACATGAGGCACCTCAGGGAAGATAAGGGTCAGGCCTTTTGTGCTCCTGAAGCACAAAGAGGCGGAGGCCTTGGCTGAGGAGAAGAAGGGGGCAGCATCTCAAAGACAATGGGCAAGTCACCAGCCTTATTGGTGTCCAGGAAGGGCCCTGCCAATCACCGTCTATTTGTGATCAGCATCATGAAAAATGCCAAAAGAATAGGAACTATACAAGTTGATTTTTCTTTAAAACAAAAACATAGAGACACAGAAAAAAATGGAAAAATATTTTTAAAAGTTACACAATTATATGTGTTTATTTTTGTTTACCAATAAATAAGTATTTTTATAGTGAGAAAAAACATTTTCTTTTAATAAAGCTTTGCTAATTCTTATACAAAATACAGGCAAAAGAATAGCTGGGGTCATCTAGTTCTATTAGACAGAAAGCAACATACCCTCTGAAAATAGTTAAGTTTAAGGTTAAATAATTTAAAATAATCACTAGACTTCATGTTCGGGCAACCCAAAAGTAGTTCTGAATTTACCCTTAGAGGTGGTATAAAAAACAAATGAAACAAAATAAAAATCCCCCCAAGTGTCCCTTCATCTCTCAATCTCCCCCCCCCCCGCCTTTTTTTTTTCTCCACCAACCGGTCAGAAAAATCCTCCTGAGGCCCCTTACCTTCAGATTCTAGTTTCTCTGCATTGAGGGGACTGGTTGGTGATCCTGTTGATGATTTCCTGCCACTGAGCCCTGAGATCATTGCCATAGAGGACAGTCTTCCAATGGCTCTCACAGCATTGCCCGTTTTCTGGAAAATAGATACTGGTGTTGGACTCAGGAGGTGTCCCTGGGTTCAGCTGGTCAGTGCTCGGTGCTCTGGAGAGAAGAGCCCAGCCAAGCCCAGAAGCAGCAGCTCTGTTCCCTGAAGGAGGGCCTCCAAGTTGTGAGGGCCTGCCAGAGGAGTGAGCCCAACGTTGCTCTGCTCAGCACTATCAGCGTGTCAGAAGATGTTCAGAGAATGGAATGGGGCCCTGGAACCAATGTGTGCGTTAATGTGACTAAACAAGGTCAACATGAGACAAAAACTCTTTTCATACTGTGCTTCAACTCCCATAAAAGGGATAGTTTATATAAAGCAACTGTGGGCTGAGACAGCTCCAAAGACTTATTGCTAACTGGGCCCAGTGAGGCTGTTTCTTGTAAAACAATGATAGTGAGATGATTTTAATTGCTCAAGAGAATAGTTACTACAGATCCCGATGTGTGTGTGAGAGAGAGAGAAAAAAAAGCATTCTATTGACCTTGGGCAACTCATATAACCTCTCTGGGCTTCAGTTTCCCTTTCTGTATAAGGAGGGGGTTGGACAAGATGATCTCCAAGGTTCCATTTAGCTCTATTTATGATTCAGATACTTAAGAGATTTCCAGAAACTTTCTGGCTGGCCCCAGCACAAGCTGAAGACTGCACAGTGAGGTTGTGGAGGCTGCTTTTCCCTGGTTTGCACTCAGGCATTCAAAAGAAGCACCTGAGGAAAATAAAATGCAATGGCACTTTGCTTTTCTGAAGCTAGGCACCTTATGACAGCACAGAATTTCTCAAGGCACTACTAGAACTTGAGATATCATTACTTTGCACTGTGAAAGTTCTACCGAGAGTAGATAACGTACAATTGTATCTGTTTCATACCCTCAAAGCTCTTCATCCTTTTTTAAAGGTCAGTGGGAATGATGTAGATAAGAAAATGAAGGCATGACCAATTAATTCCTTCCCCTGTGTCACCCAGAAACATATCTTTTCAGGTGTCCAGATGCTATGCATCCCGAAGGCAGGATGCCACCACAGATTGGCTGCTCATCCTTCTGAGAGCCAGCAAAGAGCCCCTTCTTCATAGGCACACGGCTGGTTTACTTCTTCCACTCTCATTTCCTTCCTGAATTAACTCCACAAGCTAAAGTATTTCAGTAAAGTCTTGCAATTTTGGACAATCTCTAACCTCAAATTAGGTGTGTGTGCACGTGCACACGTGTGTGTGTGTGTGTGTGGTTTAAGTGGAGACCTACTGTTGGCGACCACGATCACTTTCTGGCCTGCCCTCCTAGTTGTGGGCTATTTTCATGCACTTTCAATGGGCATTCACTCTGGCTCTGTCCTCTTGTCCCCTCATGCACTCCCCTGTATGGTGTCGGTATGCTTTTGACCCTCTGCTGCCATGAGGAAGTAGGATGTCTGGGAGAATGAGGTCAAGAGTAGAAGAAGGTGAAGTGATGGGTACCCACCAGTTTAACTGTGTGGCAGAGTCACGGTAACCTTGAAGGCCACTTAGCAATCCTCTCTGCTCTCTCAGGAGCACTTACTCCCCACGGGCACTTACCCTGGCCTCAGGCAAGAGGTGGCCACAGCAGCCCTCCCTGTGGAGTCAACAACAGACAAGACTATTTTCTCATTAGCCAAATTCTTAGACTTTGTCCTTCTCAGACCTCGATCTCCTTTATCCCACAAACATTGGCTTGCTCTGAGCCAGGAGTCTCTACACTCAGAAGGTCTATTCCCAAGAAGGGACAGGTCAGGTCTCTAACTACTGATTACTATGTGACCTTGTATAAGTCAGTGCCCCTGCCTGGGCCTCAGTGTTCTTGGCTGACAATGAGGTAATTGGACTAGAAGATTCTGAGCTCCCTGCAGCTCTGATCTTCTACAACCCTACAAACGTGTAGAAGGAAACACCCCTCTTGAGCCCATACACTGCTTAATTCCAGACATCTGGACTGTGACAAACTGGAACTGTATTTTCACTTGTATGGTGCAGAAAGATGATGTCTTTTCTTCATTTTCTTTTCTAATAAAATATGAAATTACTAGAATGAGGGATAAATGTAAGAAATGCTTCCTAAACAAAATCTTTAAAACAATCTGCAACAGAATTCAGTCCTTCAAAGTTGATTTATGAAAAAGATTTGGTAAGGAAACTATTTGGCAAAAATGAAAAAGAAATATAGCTGTATGTTCTAGTGGTACAGTTTCATGCCTTTGGGCTGAAAACTGGTTGCTCCTTTATTGGAAATTTATGGAGGAATATCAACAAAGCAAAGTTTCAATTCTGTCACTTCCATGCCTGTTTTGAGAAAGCCTTTCTTTCTTTCATGTGGGCAATGCCAAGTCTGGATTCCTGAGTTCCAGGAGGACAGTATCTACACCAGCCTTCTCCCCTCTTCTTTGAGAGCCAGCTAGGTTTACTCAGCTCTGTGGGGTTTTTCAGCATGTGGGTCTTTTAGTGCTAAAACCAGGACAGTGTCTCAAAAACCAGGACAAGATGGTCACCCTGGAACCAGACAACTATCATAGGCCCCATGTATATACTCCTGAGAAGTTCATACTATCCAAATATGGTAGTGAAGAATCGTTTATGCTCTATTGAGTCAAACGCTTACTTCTTCTCTATGGCCCAGAAAATAAAGATGGTTGCCAATGGGCCTCCAATTCCTAGTCCTTGCTTCCACTTTGCATGCAAAAGCCCTACCATCCTGTTCAGCTACCCTACCCAACCTTGCTATTCCTCACTACAATGCCGTTTAAAAATTCTTTTAATACAAATTAAAAATATGCTCCTTTTTGGAATAACTTCATTCTAAGATCAATAATATGGTTAATCATCTATACATAGCCTTATTTGCAGGGTTTTGCTCCTTACTACTTCTTTCCTCCTAGGGCCTTTTATGGGAATAACACTAGAACAATCACAAGGTACTTTGCCTCATGCAGCCACAGTGAGTTACTGGGCCACCTGTGCCTACCCTGCCCCTCTCCCTCCAGCACATTCCGTCCCGCTCTACTTCTCTCCACTCCACCCTGTCCCTCTCCCCCGATAGAATCTTGACTGCTCCAAGAGGGAGCACCCACATTGTAGAGGGAGCCAAAGCCCTGGTGCCGGGAGTTAAAATGTGGCAAACACTTTCCTCGGGAAGCAATGTCACTCAAGATGGTCAGATGTAGCTGAACTACTACCAGTGAAATTACACTTCAGGTACATTATGCCTTAAATGGGCTTTTGTGGACAACTTTTGTGTGCAATTTTGCTGACTACTGTTTTTGTGGAAAAGTCACTTCCAAGTTCTGCCATCTACATTTAAAAATGAAATTAAGGTTCCTTCTCTGAATTCTATTCTTTTTTGCCCCTTCCATTTCTAGAAAACCTTATAGTTAATCATATTGTAAACCAAATGAAGAAAATTTAAGTAATTAAAATATCAGCACAAACTATGGTTCTCTGACTGTTCTGATAAAAAATTCCATTTGCTTCCCTTCCTGTTCCCTTATCTCTTCTCTCTGCCCATCCCCTGGGTTTAGGCACTGTCTAGGCTTTTGTCCATCTGCAGATGTCCCAATGAGCTCAGAAAGTCTGAGGTAATAAGGCTGCCTCATAACCCACAGCCTCCCCCAAGCAAAACCCCATTAGACTCATGCTCTGAGGACTGCTCCACCTCCACAAGAGTCCCCCGGTCCTTACTGGAAACACCGCTGTTTCTTTGAGCTCTATAGACCTATCATAATAAAGTCGACTTTTTTATTTTGTGGACCTCTTTTTATTTATTTATTTTAAAAGAGTATTTGCTACTCTGATTTTATTGGATCCAAATAGCACCAGAGGGTAAGCAAGGCAGGTTTTGCAACTCTCATTTCATACGTGAAGGAGACCCAGAGACTGACCTAAACCTTCACACAAAGCTAACCAAGAGCTAATTCCCACTGTGGAGGAGTGCTGCGGGACCCCACGTGGGACTTGCACAGTTGTAGACCCAGTTTTGCTTTTGCTCCCTCTCTCAACCTTTGCATGAAGTGGGACCTTTTGAGGGAACTGTGGTTTAGTCACCCTGTGTAGCAAATTACCAGTATCCCTATTGCCTCTGTCACAATGATTTCCTTTTTCTCTGCCACATAGGAAAGGTCTAAATGCCCTCAGACCCCCTGACTCTCCAGCTCTAAGCCTCTGCTCCTGTCAAGCCAGCGTTCACATTGTGCAGTCCCAGCTCTGAGCCTTCTCCCCACTCTTCTCTGTGTTCTAGCCTGTGCTCCAGGCCTAGCTGCAAAATCCTCCCCTGCGAGCATCATTTATACAATTCTGGTTGCAACTGGCACCATTCTCCTGTCCATACTCATATATGGTTATGGAGGGCTATACTGAAAGTTTATAATTCTTGGTGTGTGTTATGTCCTTTTATGTCTACTTGCTTCAGTTCTTCATTACAGTATACATTCCTTGAGTATAGGAAACCATGCACCCTCATGCAGCCCAGGAATTGTATAATGGTAACAGTGATGATAAAAATAATAAAACAGATGATAACTACTCTATGGCTTTGGATGATAATTTTATCCATCTTGATATCAAAGGCAGTTTTATGTTGTTGCTAAGACTGTGTTCCTTGGAGCCATATTCTGGGTTTGAATCCTGACTTTTCTACTTACTAGCTACATAATTCTGGGAGAGGTTCCTAACCCTTTTCTGCCTCAGTTTGTCTATAAAGTGGGGATTATAACATAATTAATATATATATATAATTATATATAAGATATATTATATAGTAATACACACACACACACACACACATATAATTTAATCCTGCCTTGCAGGATTAAAAGACTTAATGTATAAAAAGTGCTTTGGATCATCCCTGACACACAGTCAGCCCTCAGTACAGATTAGCTACTATTATCATCTTTGAACACTTGCTATATGCCAGGCATTGTACTATGGGCCATTTGAATTCTTACAGCAATGCTGTGAAGTTGGTACCGCTCTTACCCCACTTTCAGATGAAGAAATGAAGGGACAGAAAGATTAAGTCACTTACCCAAGGACATGTAGCTAGTAGCATATGACTTCCTTAGAGGGTAAATAACTAGAACTAAATTTTTTATAGATCACTAAGCTTTTCTTCTGAGTGCCTCTGATGGACTCGAACCTCTGACCTTTAGGCTAGCAGCCGAGTGCATTAACCATTGTACCACTCAGGGACTCCCCATGTTTCTCTCTTTACATCATGTGGCCTCCTGTTTATTTCATCACAAAGAAATATAAGACTATCAGAATGCCTTTACGGAGATCACATTCTCCAGGTTTGCCAAACAGACCTGAAAGTAATGTTGCGTATTCTTACAATGCAGACATGAAATGTCAGGGGCGTAAACCAGGTGAGGCCAGGCTGCCCGAGGCTTCCCCTCACTAGTCCCTCTGGACAAAGCTAAGCAGAATTGGAGAGACAGTTGTAGCTAAGAAACCCATTTCTCTTGAGCTATGCTAGGACCAATAAGAGGACTGAATGCAATCCTGTACCTGTATTAGCTGCCTAAATCGGTCCCAAACTATTTCAGAAATAAATTTAAACTTTTTTGGGGGAGACTAGGGCAAGTTGGGAATAGCTGGCTTGAATTTAGTAAATATGAAGGGGCAATATTCCAGTCCAAAGTGACCCCTCATTACCTGCCATTTCCTTCTTGCCATGTACTTCTTCATCCGGTCCTTAGAGAGCTTCTTGGCCTCCATGTTCTTGGTGTCTTTCATTAGCCATGGATGCTGAAGGCACTGAGTACAGTCCAGGCGGCTTCTGATGGAGGCAGAGATTAGAGGATTTCTGAGCAGGAGGGGACCTCAGAGACTATGGGTCAGATCAGACATGGGAGGTCTCTTGTCCACAGTCACACAGGGCAAAGCTCAGGGATCCTTGCTCTAGTCTGTCCATGACCAGGGGCACTGTGCTCTTGGCCTTTTCCTCTCTTGGTCTGGGTTACACTGACTGGACCCAGCATAGGCCCGGGTTAAGAAAGCCTAACCACCAAGGAAGCAACTAGACTCTCATGACCTGTACTTGGGGTCTAGCAAGAGTACGTGCTGGAGGGCTGACCTGTGTGGGGATGGCTGGCACCAAACCCAGAGTGGGCTCATTCAGTTGTTCCCAATGGGGGCTGAGGGCTTTGGTGGCCTAATCCTTCTGCCTACCTATCTGAGAGAGGGGAAAGTGATACAGTGGGCCCCAACTTCCAAGAATCATTTAACTCCTTATCTTACCATGTGGTTGAATATTAGGTTTTTCTTGTTTTAACTCAAAGAGGTATGTCCTACATATATTTATGAATTATGACAACCTTAGAACTACATTGGAACACATTTAATCTTTCTGATAGCTCTGGGAATCTAGAAATATTTCAAGGTCATTACCATAAACCTTAGTTTTACTGGCACTAATAAAGACCAAAGAACCAAATACTAATGTGCTAGAAAACTGACTCAAAAGAAGTACAACAAAATGTAGTGATCTTTAGATAAAGGGATTATGGGTGATTTTAATTTCCCTATGTTCTTCAAATTTCAACAATTTACATGTATTACCTTTATAATATAAAAATATTTCAAAAAATACCGATATATGGAGTTTTCTGAGATGCTACATGTAAGAGTTGGGATTGTAGTGTCTCAATCTATCTGAATAAGATCAGTTCTTTGGTGAGTCCATTTTATGAGTACAGAGGGACCCAACACAGCCCGTTACTGAATTAATTCAAGGTCAGATAAGAAAACAGGCCGTATACAAGATGCCTTGTTTACCCAATCCTTGGAGAACAAAGATCAGTTGACAAAAGCCACCCTTGGAGCAGAATTATTAGAAGGGAAGTTTCCATCTCTTTGAGATGGAAGTGGGGGATCCTTCAAACTGGAAGGGAACTTCGATGCTTCCACAACATCTCGCTTTCCTTTGGGTAGTGCCTGCTTCTGTTACAAAGGCACCAAAACACTTAGAGATACAGCTGTCAAGGAGTAAAGAGTATAGTAGTCTCTGGGGGAATTTGGCTCTGAGATGGCTAAAAAGGACTGAGAAGTGGTGAGTAGCTGGAAAGCCAGACAGAATCACCTGAGAGACCTCCGATATCACTACTTTAGTAACTGTGCTCTCTTGTCCCAAAGAGCCTTTCTCTGAACGGAGCAGTCAGGCCAACAGCCTCAGTGGGGTCTATGGGCCAAGTAGACCTAGCTAGAATTACTGCTGCACAGTCACAGGGCTGAGTGCAGGGTGTCTGCCTGCCTCTGGAGACTAGGCCATTGCTCCCTCTTCATCCTTTGGCATACCACCTATTTCAACACCCCTGACAAGCTTTACAGCTAGCTGCTCCCTGTTGCCAAATACGACTCCAAGCTCCTTGGGGCTTTTGGGGCCAGCCCCTGAGTCATCTGGCCATTTGATTTACAGAGTGGGTGAGGGGGCCCTGGTGGCAAAGTGGTGAAAATGCTTGGCTGCCAACCAAAAGGTAAATGGTTCAAACCCACCAGCTGCTCCACAGGAGAAGGATAAGGCAGTCATAAAGATTACAGCCTTGGAAACCCAATGGGATGGTGAATCAGAATCAACTCGATGGCAGTGGGCTTTTTAGTGGAGGGACCCAACAGGCTAGCTCACCTCATCTGGCACCCCCCCATTCACTACTCCCTTCCCCTGGGACAGGTCAGCCCTCCCTCCACACTTACAGCACCTCTTACCTTCTTGCTTTAATTTAACTGGTTCTGCTCACCAGGGGAGTCCTCACCAGTTCATTCTGTCCAGTCACACCTAAAGACCATCTCAAATCTCCCCTCCTCTGCTCTAGTCCCCCTCTATAGCCCAAGCTCCCATGCTCTTGCTGGAATACTCACCAAGTGCCTTGTATACCTGACCTTTTCACACACCCTTATGCAACTAGACACCTGAACACACCACCTACCACTGGTCACAAGTGTTTTATATATTTATCCTCTCACCCCTTGGGAAGCTCCAGGAAGCCCCAGAAGGCAGAAGGGTAACCTCAAAGTCTGCAATATTATCGGGGCACAAAGAGAGTGGAGGGAGGGCTGAGCCTAGTGGCCTGGGATTCTAGCCTCACCTGGCCATATTCAGGCAGGCAGTTCTTAAATAATTTAGATAGAGAAAACATCAAGTTAGATAATCCAGGGGATGACTGGGACTCATAGATAGACTCTAATGAAGCTTCTGTCATCTGCTCTTGCTTTTTGAGAGGCTACTTCCTTCACCCTCTATCCCCCAGGGTCCCTGAAGATGCAGGGCTTCTATAAGCCACAATCACACACATAAAATAATAGATATTGTTCAAGCAGAGTAAGCTACAATACTTGGTTAAGAGTAAGCTACGATGCTTGGTTAAGTAGCTTTTGTGCTCTATGAGGATCTATGCCTTAAAAGACTTACTATGGTGACTAGTCAAGGAACTGAAGCCTATGAAGACGCCCTCCCTCCCCACACACACACTTGGCTTGGTCCCTCCCAATGCCTGCCTTCCCTTCCTCAGGAGGAGGGAAGAAACAATAAACAAGTAAGATTGCTGCCTCCTGACGCCAGTCCAGGGAGTAGGGGAGCTGAAAGGACTAAAAGCTCAACTAATTACTTCATATCTTTCTTCAACAAATTGCTGATAAAATCCTTGGCATCATCGGAGATCTCATCGAATGCTTCATCGTCGAAGTCCCAGGTGGCTGAGGTAACGTTGGCTAAGGTTTCATTATCATTGTCACCCATGAAGGGGGAAAGTCCACTGACCCTGGGGAGATAAGAGCAGGAGAGCAGCAGTGACTGTGTGAGGTCAAAGGTGAGGGGCCCGCATGGAATCACTACAGTTCCACATGGAGAGAAATCTCCGCAGCCCCAAACTCACACTGTGTGGGCTTCACACCCACTTCTTCTACCTCCATAAAGAAATATGTGGTTCTCTAGCGGTATTTGTGTTCTGGTCTCTTCTCAGCCTACCATGTAGGTACCTCTTACTACTTTGTTTTATGGATGAAGAAACTGAGGCACAGAGTAGGGGTAAATAACCCACCCAAGGGTTCACAGCCAGTGAGATCTGACATCACAGCCAGGTGCCCAGTGAGATCTGACATCACAGCCGAGTGCATGTCTCTAGACATACTCTCAACCCCATTACACTAACATTTCTATGAAAATTAAATAATAAATAATTAAATAATAAACAAATTGGAATGGACAGCACTGGCACAAGGCTGGTCCACAGTAAGGAGCTTGGTCTCTGATCATAGGTATTATACAGTTTTTCTGAATCAATTCTACTGCCTCACCCATCTGTGATCTCAGGACTGACTTATTTTACCAGTAGCTTAAGCCAAATAAAATTTGGCAACTAATGGTCTCTTGAACCTAAAAGTCAAACTGAATAGATTCATGGTTTCCTGGATTTACCTCTCACCTCTGTGAACCTCATCTTCAGACCAGCCACACATAACCCAGACTTAACATGACTTGGGGTGGCTTCGTGAGCATGCAACCTGTGCCCAGGGTCCTTTCTTAGGAGAGTCCACATTTGGTTTAATGGTCTGCTGTTGCCATCTTGAATTTATTAATGATTTTTGAACAAGTAGACTTTTTATTTTACACTGAGCCCCACAAATGATGCAGCTGGTTCTGTCCTGATTTCACTTGAGCCCCACAGTATGGGTCTCATGCCATTAACCTCCCAAACTAAGGCTTTGCTAACACCCCTTCCCTCAAATTCTTATGAATCTGTCATCATAAACAATAATGCAAACCCCTCTGCTGCTGTTTTGGCATTTGATGTACCAGTTTATGAAATACACCAATACTGAAAACTAGTTTTGCAAATCAAAACGCATTTATTTGGAAGGAAGCTTGTGGTGAAATTTTTGTAAAGAGAAGAAAACTTTTGCAGTGTGAATTATTTCACTCTAACTATTTTGTGTTTCTGCATAATATATATATTTTTGTATATTGCATCTTCTTAAAACATGGCACTGATTTCTATCTTAAGAAGGCATGGAGATATTCACTCTCAGTCATATCACAATGAGGGAAGGGTGGCAGGTCACCAGTCCCTGAGCCTGCATTGTTATATGTTACTCCTTTTCCCTCTCTGGGCCTCAGTTTTCCCTTTAATACAACCAGGGGACCAGGCTAGAATTCCTTGGGCCTCCTCCCTCTCATGGTCTCAGCATCCTGTGTAGCCTGTGAGAGCCCCGAGAAGCAGCCCAACTCTGGCTTGTCAGATACCTGCTTCCTTTACATTTTCCACTGGAATCCACAGGGGGAAAAAGTCCTGCAGCACTCCAAAAGCAAACAATCCTGCTGTGGAATGCTGAAAGGTCCCTTCTGCAAATCTCCTTTCCTAATTAGGAGCTGTAATCCTGCACAGATAGGTTTTAATCTTTGCAATGTTCACAGTCAGGGAGAGCCTCCTCGCCTTTGGCCTCTGGTTCCTCCTTCCTGGCAATCCCATCCTTCTGAAATGCCCTCCTTGTCCTGGTTGGCTCCATGCCTGCCAAGCTCCCTACAGTTCTCCCAATTAAAGAGCACGTCTCTAAAATAAAACATGGCATGGGGGCAGAGCAAGATGATGAGGAGAGTGCTCAAATTTCACTGATGCTGTCTCTGGGTGGTGGGATTTTGCAGGATCGTGTGTATATATATATGATATATACCCCAAAACCAAACCCACTGCCATCAAGTGGATTTTGACTCATAGCAACCCCCATCAGGTTTCCAAGGCAGTAAATCTTTACGGAAGTAGATTGCCTCATTTTCCTTCTATGGAGTGGCTGGTAGGTTTGAACCACCAATCTTCTGGTTAGTAGTCAAATACCTTTGGCATATATATACATACATGTATGCATGTGTATATACATATATATATATATATATATATGAGTTCTGGTGGTGTAGTACCTAAGACATTTCACGGCTAACCAGAAGCCTGGCAGTTCCAACCCACCAGCCACTCCTCCGTAGGAAGGTTGGGCAATCTACTTCTGTAGTGATACCACCTCAGAAACCCGAGGAGGGGTCGCTATGAGTCAGACGCAACTTGACAGCAGTGAGTTTGGTTTTTCGTTATATATGTATATATATATGTATACACACACATATTTATTGCTAGAATTTGCTTAAGGCTCATGTGTCTTCATATATATATATCAACCATTATTTGTTAGAAATCAACCACTCTGCAAACAAAACCACCACAGCATTAAAAACACAACTGTGTTCCCCTCTTCCTGGTCTTATCTAGTTTGTAACTGATGGGTTCATCTAGTTTTCACAAGATTGCAATCAGCATGGGCATCTTGAATGATCTACTTTTTCTCCACTTGACATTGTGTTTTTATGGACTTTCACAAGTATATCCTGAGTGTTCTCACTCATTTTTAATGGTCACATGTTAGTCTTTGTGCCGATGAATCACAAAGGTCATGGCTGTAGGGCATCCTAACGTCATAATTCTTCTTCTCTCCCTGTGGCAAAACCTCAGGTGAGAGGAGGATGCAGAAATGCCTCCTGGACTACACTTTCTCTATGTTTTAAGCAGCACACAGATGGTCTTGCTGCAGGAGTGGCCAGCTGAGGGGACCACACATTGGCAAGCAGAACTATTGAGCGATTAGGAAGAGGTGCATCTTTGATTCCATTTTAGCTTTCAGATACTCATTGCCTAGTCTGGTTGGGAGACAGAGACAGGGTGGGGCAGTACCACAGGAAGAGCTGAGTATTCTTCTGTGCAGTGGCTTGGGAGGCAGGGACCTGGGGGTAAGTCACGTTAACAGAGAAGCAAGAGGCTACCTGGGTCCTCTGAAGAGCCCTGTATTCAAAGCCCAGTTTGAGCAGGTACCTAATGCCCGGGCACTGGGACTCCTCCCACAGAGAACTGGGTTGCTGTCCTCAGAATTAGCCACAACACATGCTGAAATGGAAGTTTATGACACTGGGTGCAGTCAGGAAGATGGTAGGAGAGTGGAATACTAATTGCTTCTTCATTTTGGTTTGGGAGAGGGGAAGGAGAGAAGGAATTCTGGAGTGGGGTTGAGGGGCACAGAGAAGGATTTTGATCTCCACCAAACCCAAACCAAAGCCACTGCACTGAGTCAATTCCAACTCATAGCGACCCTATAGGACAGAGTAGAACTGCTCCATAGGGTTTCCAAGGCTGTAATCCTCATGGAAGCATGCTCCCATAGCTTTCTCCCATGAAGCAGCTGGTGGATTTGAACTGCTTTTTGGTTAGCAGCCAAGTGTTTTAACCACTGTACCACCAGGGCTCCTTAGGGAACACCAACTCCTCAGAAAATAGGGGAGAGAGAAAAAGGAGAGAACAGACATCTTAGAAAAGGAGGCATTTCACAGTGAAGTGTGGCCTAGTCTTGCCCCTCTATCCCCTTGGTGTTGCACCTCCCCATCCCCTTTGAGGCCAGAGACCAAATGGGTATTGCTAACTTCAGAAAAGGAGTCCCAGGGTGGTACAAATTTTTAAGCACTTGACTACTAGCTGAAAGGTTGACGGTTCAAACCCACCCAGAGGCACCTTGGAAGACAGGCCTGGTGATCTGCCTCTGAAAGGCCACAGCCTTGAGAACCCTCTGGGACAGTGCTACTCTGCAAAGATGGGGTCAGAAGATAACTAACAGCAACAGCTTCAGAAAATTCTCCAGGAGATTCAAGAAATCTCCTAACTCCCTTCAGAATCAGGGATGAGAGGGCAGGGGTCCTACAGCCCTTCCTGCTCCATTATCCTGCCTGGACAACCCAGGCCAGCAATTGAGTTGGTGACTCAGACGCCAGGACAGGATTTCTCTGCTGGGTTGGGAAGCAGTTTCTCGAGTAAAGTCAGACTAGCCTGTGGTGACAGAACTCTCCTTGCTTAGGAGGTACTTGCTAAATATGTGTTGAACAATAAATGAGTTATCACATAGCCTCTCTATTTTCTCCCTCCAACTTCTAGCTCTCACGGCCCCAGAAAGGAGATTGGGAGGGGAGGGCCCCTGGGACAAGACTCAGCGTAGGGGCAGAGGGTGTCATAAGGGCCGCCAGAGAATTGCTTCTGGGGTGCTGCCAGCAGCTATGCCTGAATTTTTCATAGCAGGGACTTACTGGAAGCAATCTGTTGGCTCTAACTTTTACTTTTGGCCGCATGTGCTCAACACATGCTTGGAACAGGAACTCCCAGATCCCAGTTCCCCCTGTGAGAGTCAGCCCGGCAATGTTCCGGAGGGCAGAGTGGCCCACAGCAGTGAGGCCAGGGCCAGGTACACCAGCTCCTCACTGCCTCCCTCTCACACACACCTTGCCTCCCTCTTGGTGTCCTCCTGGCCACACACCTTCAGGCTGGTGCCCGTTTGTCAAAATTATTTTCTCTCCTATTTCAAAAATTCTTTCCTATTTCTTGGTCTCAGTTTTCAAAGTAATCTAGTAAACAATATAACATTATCCAAAGTACTGTGTTCCATCACCTAAAATAATTTTCATTTTAAAATAAAATGCTCTTTGTTGTTGTTGTTGTTGTTATGTGCCGTCGAGTCGGCCCCGACTCATAGCGACCCCTCCTTGGGTTTCCGAGGCAGTATCACTACGGAAGTAGGATTGCCCAACCTTCCTTCCGAGGAGAAGCCAGTAATTCTAGTTCTAGATTATATATCCAATAGAAACATGAAGATGTTTGCAAAAGGCATGTACCAGAAAATGTCTAATACCCCAAACTGGAAAGTACTAAAAAGCCCATCAAGGCAGAAGGGATAAATATATTCGGTTATATTCACTCAGGAGTCCCTGTTGTTGTTGTTGTTGTTTGCCATCGAGTCGGCCCCGACTCATAGCGACCCCTCCTTGGGTTTCCAAGGCAGTATCACTACGGAAGTAGGATTGCCCAACCTTCCTTCCGAGGAGTGGCTGGTGGGTTTGAACCGCCAGCCTTCTGGTGAGCAGTCAAGTGCCTTAGGCACTATGCTACCAGAGCTCCTCAGGAGTCCCTAGGTGGCCCAAACATTTAATGAGCTTGGTTGCTAACCAAAAGGTTGAAGGTTTGAGTCTACCCAGAGGCGCCTCAGAAGAAAGATCTGGTTAAACTGCGTCTGAAAAAAAATCAGCCATTGAAAACTATGGAGCAAGTATACTGACACTGGGTCACTATGAGTCAGAATCACCTGGACAGCAACTGGTTTCTATACTCACACCATGGCATCCTACAGACCACTGAACATCAACAATCTACACCTACACACACAAATAAGAATGAATCTCATGAACAGTGTTGAGCAAAAGAAGCCAAACATTTCTTTCTGCATGATTTTGTTTATATAACGTTCAAGAACACTGAAAAAAAAAAAACCAAAAAACAAAACCCAAACTCACTGCCATTACTTGATCCTGACTCCTAGCGACCCCTCCTTGGGTTTCTGAGGTGGTAACGCTACAGAAGTAGATTGCCCAACCTTCCTTCTGAGGAGTGGCTGGTGAGTTTGAACTGCCAGCCTTCTGGTTAGCAGTCAAATGCCTTAGGCACTACACCACCAGAGCTCCCAACTTCAAGAATGTTGCTGTTGTTGTTATGTGCCGTCGAGTCAAACCCAACTCATAGCGACCCTCCTTGGGTTTCCGAGGCAGTATCACTACGGAAGTAGGATTGCCCAACCTTCCTTCCGAGGAGTGGCTGGTGGGTTTGAACCGCCAGCCGTCTGGTTAGCAGGCAAGTGTCTTAGCCACTATGCTACCAGAGCTCCCCTTCAAGAATAGGAAAGACTAATTTATGATGCTAGATATGAGGATAATGTTATCTCTGGAAGGGGAGGGGTAGTGACTGGGAAGGGAGGCCAGAAAGGTTGCTGAGTTCCTGGGACTATTTGGTTTCTTTCTTCTTCTTTTTAAAATTTACTATGGTAAAATAAATACATAAAAAATTATGCCATTTTAACTATTGTTAAGTGTATAATTCAGTGACATTAATGATATTCACTGGGTTGTGTTACCGTTAGCACTATCTATTCCCAAAACTTAGTCTCCTGATCTGGGTATAGGTCACACAGTGTGTTCACAGCGATGATTTACTGAGCAATCTGGTCACTGCTCTGTTACTGATCAGTAGGGAGGGAGTCCAATCATCCTGGTTTGCCTAAGCCATCCTTGTTTTAGCACAGAAAGTCCATATCCTGGGAAATCACTCAATCCCAGCGAACTATGATGATCAGTCACCCTGCCAACTTCTCTGGGACCTGGGCAGCAGCCATGTGGGCTTCTTTGGCCCCAACCACCTCCATGCCAAATGTGGTCAAATCCCAGCCAAGAGCCCCTCGCAAGCATGTCCTGAGGATCTAGTAAGATCCTACATGTGAATCTATGGCTGCAGACGGTCCTTACCACACTGTGGTAGGAAAACAGACTGAAGAGCAAACAGAAGGCCAGTTTCCTTGATGGCTGAAGAGGAACCAGGTCAGGCCACCAGGAAGCTGAATCTGAACAGAGTGAGCTGGCCAAGGACAGTGTCTCAGGGTCCAGAGATGCAGTGTCAGCCCCATTCAGGCCTGGGCAACCAGATGACCCTGTTAGGCCTACTTACCAAGTAAGCCTGGAGTTTTCTTTACTTATCAGCTCCCCTTTTTCCCAGAGGGGGCTGAACTAGGGTGAGCCAGGGAAAGGTGCTCCTGGCCAGGGAGCTTCTTCTCAGCAGCTTAGGGAGGGGTTTGAGGAGGGGCTGTGCAGGTGGGGGTGACCCTGGGCAGGGAAGAACACTCTCTGGGGTACAGAGCCTGTGACACAGATGAACTGATAGTGGCTGTGCTAAGAGGACACAGTTAGAGTAAAACCCCTGAGCGTGTGAAAAAGTCACACACCCAAACGTCACCACACATCTGCTAAAGCCTTTTTAAATGGCCCCCTAAACGAAGCTGGATATCAGAATCATCCAGCGCCATTTCTCACACTGGAGAGTGAAGATACCAGGGGTCTGAGAAAGTATTCTTAGAGGTCTTTCTTAAGACCTTTTTTATGAGAATGTTTAATTTTTTCTTTTCTTTTTTATTTAATGAACGCATGCATATCTGCATCTGTGGAGTGACCATCCTGTAACTGTTGTTACACAAGTGGAGGGGCTGCCTTTGGGGCTAATGACTGCCTGAAACCTGGGCTTCCAGGATCAACCAATAAGATCCCACCAGAGGGTGTGTTCTAGACCTGTGTTACTCCAAGTGTGGTCAGCACCATGGGGCAACCTGGAACTTGTTAGAAATGTGGAATCTAGGGCCCTGGACCTTCTGAATCAGAATCTCCATTTTAAGATGTCCAGTTGATTCCTGCATATCAGTGTTTGTGAAGCACTGGCCCAGATGACTGGCCTTGCCTCTTTTTCCCCTGCATTGTTCATTGAAATGGCTTCAAAATTTCCCACCTGATCTCCCAATTCTAGTTACTGTGTTGCTCTCTGTTGTCCATTGGACCTGCTAAAGCCTCTACCTCTTCAGAAGTGCATATTCTGTTCTCAGAGATGAGGGGAATAGTTGGGCACATCCTCTGGGGATGGTGTGCTGTCCTTTGAAGACGGTGATGATGCCCAGAGGAGACACATGCCTGAGTCCCTCCTCTTTCTCTGTGGGCTCACCTGACCAAACACTCTCATGATCAAAGGCCCCCATGGGCGAGCATTGGGGACAGTGTGGGACCCAGAGTGGGGATTTCAGTGTGTGGAACTACTTTCCTACAGAAATATAATGCAGAAGCACAGGCGTGTGGGCTCGCTACCCTCCTGATTCTGGAGCATTGTTCCCATTGTCACCCACTATGGCCCCTCACAATGTCAGGGCAGCCTGCTCTCAGGTTCCCCTGCAGGACTCTCTGGGTCCTTCCTCCCCCACCCTTCCCACCCATGTGCCCAAGGACTCACAGGATATAGCAGATGACCCCGATGCTCCACATGTCCGTGGCGTAGCCAATGGGCTCATAGTTGATCACTTCTGGAGCCACAAACTCAGGGGTGCCAAAGAGGACTTTCAGAGACCCCGCATTCTCTGTAACCAGGATGGAGAGGGATCAATGGCCAGACCATCTCAGAACCAGCTCACAGTGAGTGGCCACCCTGCCTGTGTGTTGGGTACAGATGGGGATTGGCCTTTAGGGGATTTCCCCATGGAAAATAAATAATACAAGACATCTGTTCTCCTTAGACAAGTGCATAAATACGTCAATGAAGTGAAAAGAATACTTACCTTGAACGTCGTGAGTGGGGTAGGGAGGAGGAGGAGAGGCCAAACCATTGTATTTTGTGCTCGTCAAAGCACGTGTCACTGAATGATCTTTTTGCTGGTGTGTCTGTTTTTCTTTGAGTTCCCCCAGGCAGGGATCATGACTTATTCCCAATAAAAATTTCTAACATTCACTGTCCAGTGACTGTGTCTTATGTACCATGCTAATCGCTTTAAATGGATTTTCCTATTTAATATTCTCAACAACCCTAAGAGGTAGGCCTGGTGCCCATTCTACAGAGGAGGGAGGCGGAACCCAGGAAAGTGAAGTGATTTCTCGCCCAGTTAATAAGTGGTGGAGTCAGGACTTAAACCCAGCTTGTCTGACTCCTGAGCCATGTCTTTGACCATGCTACTAGACTGCCTCCCCTACTTATCTTATAGCTGTGTGTCTCTCTTCCTGGGATCTGCTGGGAGAAGGCCAGGGGAGATAGACCTTGACTTAAAGTACAGGTGAGGATGTGCTGATGGCTCCCAATCACCCCTTCATAGACCCCAGCTCCCAAGAAGCTAACAGTGGGGGTGGCAGACCTTTGGCCTGGGGGCCCGATCTGGTCTTGTCTAAATTTTACAACACTTACAGCAAATGTTCCAAAACAAAGCACTGAACAGCCCTCCTGACGTGGACGCTCTGCCTGAACCCTAGCCTTTCCTGCTACATTTTACCCACTTCCCAATCCACTGGTCCTTGATGGACACCACTCTTCTGCAATATTCCATTATCAAGGTAATCTGTATGTTCTGTTTCTTGGGCTGTGATGCTTCCAGTGACACTGCCACCTCCTGAGGCCATGGCCTGCCTATCAGTTTAGTTTGCTGATGGTTACAGTCCAAAGGCAGGCCATGCATGCCAGCCACTGCCCCCATCCCATCCCGTGAGCTGGAGACAGCAGAGCTGGGGCGTTGCTCTCAGCATTAGGGCGTGCTTCTCACCCGCCTGCACCGATCAACAATAAGTCACAGCCTGCCAGAACCTGTCTGCTTGTTCCCTTCATGATCAATGCTGCTTCGTCCAGGACTGGGCATCCTGGGAGAAGATTTGTTAGGTGCCATCCATTTGGCTCTGACTCATAGCAACCTTATATATAACAGAATGAAATACTGCCTGGTCCTGTGCCATCCTCACAGTCCTTGCTACGTTTGAGCTCATTGTTGCTGCCGTGTGTTAATCCATCTCATAGAGAATCCTCCTCTTTTTTTTGCTGACCCTCTACTTGACTGAGTATGATGTCCTTCTCCAGGGATTAGTCCCTCCTGATTTATTGGGTACTACTACCTTGGCCAGTTCCTTCCTGCTTCCTCCAGGAGGGTGAAAGAATGGCCAGCCCTTCCCACCCCCCACCCTGGGGGCCATGTTTGGGAGTGGCAAATGGAGAGTGAAGCTGTTATCTTAGTTACTGAGATATCAAAGTGCTACATAAACAGGGCAGCTGAGGGCCATATGTGATGCAGTCACTGACCAAAATGATTTCTGGGGTGAGAAAGAAGGCCACCGGCCACCTTTCCCCAGCCCCCCTCTTAGCACCTCTGCTGCACTACGCCACCAGAGGTCCTGGAAACTGTCCAGCATGATGCAAATGTGAGCAGTCACTGACACCAAAATGAGTGAGGTTTAGGGGCTCTGTTGGCACAGTGGTTAAGACATGTGGCTGCTAACCAAAATGAATGAATTTGCTGCTAAAGGTATCAGAGTAAAAGCTACAAGAGGGAATGATGATGGTGATAATAAATACCAGCACCTACATAGTAGTACCTAAGGCACTGGACTGCTAACCAGAAGGCTGGCGGTTCAAACCCACCAGCCAGTCCTCGGAAGGAAGGTTGGGCAATCTACTTCTGTAGTGATACCGCCTCAGAAACCTAAGGAGGGGTTGCTGTAAGTTGGGTCCAACTCAACGGTACATAACAACAACAACATAGTACTTAAAATGTGCAAGGCACTGATCTTACCTCTTTACCTCATTTAATGCATCTAGTCCTTGAAACAGCTGTATGAGGTGCTATCTATTATCCCTACTTTACAAATAAAAAATTTGAGGCCCAGAGGTTAAATGATGTGTCCACTCACATAGCTAGTAAGTGGTGGAGGCAGGATTTGCATCTGAGTGGTCTCCTTGGTCTCTGATTTTAACCTGCACCTCCCTCCAATACATAATGTGTAGAACACCAACAGCCAGGGTCCCTGCATGCAGGTGGCAGCAGGAGAGGTAAGGTGAGAGGGTAAGGTAACAGCCTTACCCAGCCTCCTCGCCAGACCGAAGTCAATGAGCTTGATCCTAGTGCCCGTCTTGTTGACACACATGATGTTCTCGGGCTTGAGGTCCAGGTGGACGATGCCCTGCTTGTGGATGTACTCCACCCCCTCTGAGATCTGCTTCATGTACTTGATGCACTCGCGCTCCGTCAGCTCAAAGTCCTCGTCGATGATGCGCTCAAACAGCTCACCCCCCGACACGCTGCGGAACAGAAGGAAGCGGGAAGACCCCAGGGTCACGGAGGCTGGGCTGGCAGGGCACTGGCAGGAAAGTCTTGGATATGGAGGTGATGGGCACTCTGTAGCTTCCCGAGTCCCAGGGCATGGTTCTATCAGGGCTGATCCCTGTCTTCCTTCATGGGAGGAGGACCAGGGCCTCCTGGTTTCCTGCTAGTGGACCCTGCCCTATACCCACTGAGCTTCTGGGGCACTCAGAAACATCTAAACTGGGGTAATTTCAGAGATAGGCATGAACTATGAGATCCAGACATAATCTTCTTAGCAAAAGGACAACCTCTAGTCAGTCTCTCTCCCAAATAACAGAGATGTACAAGGAAACATTCTTGTACTGTAGTTTGTCTTTTAGCTATAGCACACTGAAGTTTAAAATACTTCAGTACTCATAAGTATTTTATTTACATACCCAGGAAGAGAAATATGAAGAAGCCTCAGCAAGTTTTCTAAAATTAGTTGTCTGTAACCCATTACACCTCCACCACCTGTCAGTTTGTTGTACTGTGGTGGTTTGAATGTTGCTGTGGTTCTAGAAGCTAAGCTACTGGTATATCAAATATGCAGGGTTACTCATGGGGGACAGGCTTCAGTGGAGCCTCGAGACTAAGATAGACTAGGAAGAAAGCCCTGGCAATCTACATCCAAAATAAGCCAATGAAAACTCTATGGATCACAATAGAACACTGTCTGATATAGTGTGGGAAGATGAGCCCCATAGGTTGGAAGACACTCAAAACACACAGTGGCCACAGCAATGGATTTGAGCATAAGGACCGTGGTGAAGATGGCACAGGCTGAGCAATGCTGCCTTCTGTTGGACACGAGGTCATCATGTGTTGGAGCCAATTCAACAGCAACTAAGAACAACCCATTATATCTACAGAGGTCATAGATGTTTACCCTCTCGGTAGGCCTATGGTATCAGTTTGCTCCTTCCAGCTGTAACTAACTTGTCTCGCCTCAATCCCTTCATAGCTCGGGCTGGACGTGTGTGGTAAGTCCTTCCTATCTGAATAGACTTTGGATCCCAGTCATGTCAATCAGCCCCATGCTTCTGAGGCCCACAGCCAGGCATGCTCTGCCAAGCCTGCTCCAGGGGCTTCAGCCAGCCAGGATCTTGCCTTCAGTGCAAATACAAGGCTCTATGGCCTGGTCATGGGCCCTCTCTGCTCCCTGTCCCAGCTGACCCAACTTTACTGTTCCCTGCTCAGAAAGTTTAAAATGTTTGCTGGTAACTTTTTTTTTTTTTTTAATCAGGAAACTAATTTTTTTTTTTTTTTTTTCAGTAACCTACGGGCCCACCAGCTGAACAAGGATGAGTGGGCTTTGTTCTGGGCATATCCTCTTACAAGGGTCTCTATCCTAAGAGGAGTCATGAAGGGGGGAAAGAGCTGAGTCTGAATCTTGTCCCTGCCTCTTATGAGCAGTGTGACCTTAGGCAAGTTACTTAACCATTCTGAACTCCATTCCTTATCTGCCCATACCTCATAGAATTGTTAGGAATAAAGGAACTCATGCCTGGCATACAGTCTGAGCTCAGCACATATTAATCATCCTTTAACAACTTGTGATGGGACAGGTGGGTCTTGTCACTGACGCCCAAGGGAGAGACAGGCAGGGAAGTACCATGGGGCCAAGCTTACTGCAGCCTCTCTCCGTCCCCCTCCATCACCACATCACAAACACTTGATTCAGTAAAGTCAGCTTAGGCCAGTGATGGCTGGGGAATGCTGGAACTGACGTTAGAACCAACCCAAGAAGGGGAGCTCTGGTAGCGTAGTGCCTAAGGCACTTGATTGCTAACCAGAAGGCTAGCGCTTCAAACCCACCAGCCACTCCTCGGAAGGAAGATGGGGCAATCTACTTCCGTAGTGATACTGCCTTGGAAACCCAAGGAGGGGTCGCTATGAGTCAGGTCCGACTCAATGGCACATTAACAACAAAGAAGGGATCCCTGGGTGGCCAGCAGGTGGCGCTCTGTCATCAAGACCTGCTTTTCTACTGTTAGCCACTGAAGCTTCATATCCAACTGTATAATCTATATTCTAGGACTCAGCTGATTCTTGACATCACTGTGCTTTGATTTTCTCATCTGTAAAATGCAGATAAAAACAGCACCACCTCACAGGGTTGCTTGCTATAAGTTAATACAGGTAAAGTGGTTAGATGAGTGCCTGACATATACCAAGTACTCTATGTTAGTGTTAATTTTTCTAAAAAATTTTTATTATTAAGAAACACTTGGGATTCTTGTTTAAAATACAGACTCACAAGCTCCCACCATGGAGATTTTGATTCAAAAAGTCTTGGGAGGGATCTGAAGACCTATGTTTTTAATAAGTACCCCAAATCATACTCCAGGTCAGTCTTATGATCAGATAAGTTTGTGAAACACTAATTTACTCAATTTCTATTCCTGGGATGCCAACTGGAAATTTACTTTCCTTGAGAAAGCACTCCTAATTTCTCCATATGAAATGTTCTTTCCCTCCCTGGGAAAGCATGTCTGTACTTTTTGTATCAAGTCTGGCCTGTTCTAAAGTTGTGGACATGTCTGGGCACTGTCTAGCTTTCTAGACTTTTACTTAAACCAAACCAGTTGTCATCAAAGGAGATTCCAAGGCACAGTGACCCCATGTGTGCCCAGTAGAACTGCTCTGGAGGGCCTTCAGCCAGCCAGCAAGTTTCTGCAAACACATTACCAGGCCTTTCTCCAGACGTACTCTCACAGAGGTTTGAACTGTCAACCTTTCACTTAGTAGGCAAGCACTTACCTGTTTGTGCCATTCAGAACTCCTCTGGACCCTAACTGTTGTTATGTGCCATCGAGTTGTCTCTGACTCATAGCGACCCCTCCTTGGGTTTCTGAGGCGACATCTCTACTGAAGTAGATTGCCTAACCTTCCTTCCGAGGAGTCGCTGATAGGTTTGAATCGCCAACCTTCTGGTTAGTAGTCAAGTGCCTTAGGCACACCACCAGAGCTCCCAGACCCTAACTAGAAACTGGCAATATCTGGCACAGACCAGGTGTCCCAAAATGTTTGCTTTTGAATTTAAAATATTCTGAAAAAGCAAGTCACCGTCATTTGCAGTGCCCTTGGGAACGTGTGAGGCATGAGAGGTAGAAATCTGAGGCTTGGAGATGGTTGCTGCTGCATTTCTAGAGGTGATCTATTTAGTATAGGTTCAAACCAATTCAAATTTATGTGATATGCTAATTAATTATATTTTGAAAACTGTTATTTCTTAGGATGGAAGAGGTTACACAAAGAGGATTAATGGTTCAGTCAGTTTCTCTTCACAAAGCACAAGACTATGAGTGGAAAGTATTGGTTTGATAGAAAAAGCCTCCATCTGCAGAGATGGGACAATTCTGGGGAAAGACCTGACCAGAGGAAATGTGTGTTTAATAAATTAATATTGAGTGAGTGAGTGAATGAATACCTACTAGTACCAAGGTTACCTAATCACTTGGCAGAAGGAAGGGTATTATTAGGGGCCCTTTTACTTCTACACCTTGTCTATGGCACCCAGCTGGACGTTCTTTGAGACTTTTACCAACAATAAAGACATGCGAGCTCGGTTGTGGATGACTTGGCCTGAATATACTTCCACTCCAGGGCTCAGGGCCCACCACCACTTGGAAGGTCCCAAGCACTTCTAAAAGGTCAAGCCAAGGTTCCAGGCCAAGGGCCTGAGGGAACCTCTGTCTCAGAGCAATGCTGCTGTAATGATGGAGGCTTACCCAGTAATGAGAGGTCAGAAAAGCTGAAGACACACTCATTCTTGTTTCTCACTATACCTGAGGTAGCTGAACTGAAGCCTGGGGCCCTGGAATACGCTTTCATTTATCTATACCACCAGCTATCCCTTAATCGCTGTTTCTCCATCAAAGAGAAAACAGCAAATTGTACTGTTGAAAATCAATCCTGCCCCTCTCAGTGGCTAAGTCTTAGAATGCTTCAACTGGAGGGGACGTATGAATTGAGTATGAACCTGCTGCATGTTTCTCTTGTTGAGCTCTTATCAAGGGCAAGCTTCTTACCCCAAATGCAAGCTAATCCTCTGGCATCCATGCGTGTAAGACTCGCTCCTGTCCATAGGGGAGGCACAGGGAGGAGGGATGAAAGCCAGGCCAGCTGAAGCCTTTTACGTTTTTCTCCCTACATTTTCCATCTGGCTTGCCAACTCCCAATTCCAAACTAAGTATGGTATTCTGCCCACTGGTGCTGCTGCTCGGCCTTACCCAGGCTCAGCTACCTCCTGACCCTCCCTTTCCCCTCTCACGAACTTGCTCAAGGTTTGACTTCTAAAGAGAAGACATTTCTTCACACATCCTTACAAGCCCACACTGCTCGGACTCATTGACTCATTGTGTAATAAATATGGAAAACTGCAGCCCAGAAGAGTATTGTGAGGGTAGACCGAGTGAGGCCATGACTTGGCCAAATATTTTCTGGAAGTGGGGAGGAAAGTTTGAATTTAGGGCTGAGAACTGAGTCTAAGAGACAAATTAAGATTTTCTCTGAGTCTTTTACAGTTCCCCCAGAATTGTATAATTTTAGAGCTAGAAAGGAATCTTGGGACTGATTATTTCAATCCAAATGCCTCTTTTCACTGGTAGGGTTTAACAAATGCAAAATCATGACTCCATAGCAGTGGAATCCAAACCCAGGTTTTCTGAATACCGGCTAAGATTTGTTCCACAACACTTAGTTGGATTTTAAAATATTCCCAGCAAGAAAATGCTCACCAAGTAATTTTAAGCAGGAAAAAAGACCAAGACACGGGGAAAAAAAATCAATACATCATACCAACGATTACAGAGCACTGTGCCTTCCATGCATTATGCTGTTTAATCCCAGAGCATTCATGAGGTGGTTTTAATATCCTCTTCTTATGGAAAATAAATGAAACTAAGGACTGGAGCAGCTGAGTGACTTATTCAAGGTCACATACCAAGTAAGAGGCAGAGCTGGGGTTTGAAGTGAGATTATCTGACTCAAGTCTGTGCTCTTAACCACTGTTCCCCTTCTCAAGGAAAAGGAAAAACACCAAAGTATTGATAACATGAGGGGAGAGGAAAGGCTAACGTTCCATTCATACATATCTTTGAGGATGTCTTAGTGTCCTCCCCTTGCCAAGGAAGGAACCCCAAGACATTGACAGAGTTCTCTCCAAAGGACAGAGGCTTAGGATGAGCTATCCAAGGATGCCAAAGGCAATTTTACAGTATCTCTATAAATTTCACATGCACAGACCTTTTGATCCAACACTCCCACTCCTGGGAATGTGTTTTACAGATATATACAGGCATGAGTGAAATGATGTATGCACAAGCTTACAGACATGCTGGTTTCTATCAGAAGATTATCTATGTACTTTATCCACACAATGAAACATTATAGGGCTGTGAGACTGAGGAAGCTCACTAAGTAGCAATATGGGATTATCACCAGGGTAAACTGCTGAATGAAAAAAGCAAAGTATAGAAGAGTAAATATGATAAACTACCTTTGTGTTAAAAGATTACAGACAAAACCAATAAAATTGGTTACCTGTAGTGGGGGGCAGGTCAGACAGGGAGACAGACTTCATTGTGCATTTTCTTATGATTTTCACTGTGACTATATTATCTTTAGGAGCTCTGGTAGCATAGTGCCTAAGGCATGTGACTGCTAATCAGAAGGCTGGCGCTTCAAACCCACCAGCCACTCCTCAGAAGGAAGATGGGGCAACTTACTTCGGCAGTGATACTGCCTCAGAAACCCAAAGAGGGGTCACTATGAGTCGGGTCCGACTCGATGGCACATAACAACAACAACAACAACATATCATCTATTATTATTATTTTTAAATATGAAAAAAGGAAAGGAAACTCTTAAAAAATACAGACACAGTCACAAAAGGACAAATATTGTATTAGTCCGTTATTGTAAAAGTTAAGGAAAGGTTTATATATTGGAGGACATTTTCTTTGTTGGTTACCAGGGGTGG